CCTTAGCTCGGGAGTCTTCTGGCAACTGTTGTCAGAGGGTAGCTGACACTTATTTTTAAAGTGGCCTGGGGTAAGCCAAAGCATTTATCTCTATTCTCTCTTCCCCTCACCCCCCAAAAAAACAACCCACAATCCATTAGTGCTTGCTTGGCAATTTATCCTGCAAAATAAAAATGTTAATAGTAATAGCTGATCCCTGAACTGCAAATGAACAGTGCAGCTGGGCAGGAGTGAAGGGCTTAGCCCCAGCAGGCAATGAGTGCTCTCAGTGTAAGCTGATATCCATGTCAGCATGCCCTGGGCTCTTCCTGAAACAATTTATAAGACTGAGCTCTATCAGAAAGCGGTTCTGTTTCCACCTTGGCTCCATGTAATTTCAAAGCAAAGCTGGGGCTTGAGGGCTGTCAATAGCTTTTTTACATTTAGCACTGCTTCATACGAAGCTCTGACTCTACTTTTATAAGGATACGTTTTCCCATGTTTAAGTAGAAAAGAATACAGCAACGACAAAGATGACAAAACAACTCACAACTTCTAACAGCCTTGACTCAGGAGCTTGGTTCATTTGCAAGGAAATAATTGCAGTTTGTACGTTGGATAAAATAGTTTCCTGGAGGAAAATCACCTGGATTAAATTAGATAATAATAATAATAATTAAATAAAGTGTTTTCTCTTGCTCATGAATGGTGGTGTAATGTCTTTGCAGGCAAGCACACAGACCACTAGCTGTCATCAGACCATTAGTATCAGCTTGCAGATGTCGACTTCACTCCCTGTTTGTCAAGTCATAGGGAGGCAATAGCAAGATTAATGTTTATTTCCAGCTGAGCCTGGAACTCAAAACCTGGACAGTTCCAAAAAACCTTCTGAACAGGTCTAGTTTGGTGTCTTACATAAAGGCAGGATTTCTTAGTTTTCCATGTCTACACAGCATTATGGTGGGTACTGGCTGAACCTCAAAGTGCTAGCAAAAGCCTCTTACAGTTTTTGATCTGAGAAGAAAGTTCCTAAATGCATCTGTAAGTATGAAAATGTTGGCACGCAGATGCAGAGGCCACAAGGGCTCTCTCCACTGAAGGCAGTAAGGAAGCTCCCTCTGAGTTTCTTGCAAGCAACTTTCTTGCCCTCAAACTGCCTGAAAGTTAGATGCCTTATTTAAGATGGTTATTTGTGCTGCTTCTATAGTTAGTGGTGAGAGATCAGCCCTTCCAGAAGGCAAACATCCTGCAGATAGCCTTTTAGGGTGAATGACTTGCCCTCCAGAGATACCTACCTCTCTGCATTAACTGTCTCAGTCCTAACTTTTCATTGAGTTACTACTGCGAAGTAAGATGAAGCCCTGCAGCAGTTCTGTACTGAAATGCTGTCACAGTAACAGAGCATACCTCTACAGCTCTGCAAAGAGTTCTTGATTTTAAAATCATCGTGCAGATTGTTATGACACCAAACAATGTGTGTGATAGGAAACCTAACTCCCCCTTTGACCCCAGAAATGTCACTCAGAAAAAAAACAAGTACTTTTTATTAATATAGTGCCATCAAGCATACCAGCAGTCCATTTAGAGGCACCAACTTCTGCTCATCTGCAGCTTTGTTGAAGGCTGTAATGTGAATTCCTGGATAGATAAAAACATAGCCATAAAGACAGGTTCCTGGGTACTTTCAGCTTTTGAAATACTGGGTATTTTCAGCTTTTGAAAGTCTGCAGATACATATAGAAGCTATGGATATAAATCTTAGTCCCGTAATAAACTTGGCTTAAACACAGCCCTGTTTCTATATGTAGCACAGCATCTCTCAGTGTAAAGGCCTTCTTACACATGGAGAAGCAACAGGGCTGGACCCTGCAAACCATCCAGGCGCTTAACACTTTGGAATGACAGGCTGGAACAGCTCAATGCCCTGTTTCATCAGAGTCATGCTGCTGCAAGCACTGCAATTAATGTCTGGTTTGTGTGTGTCCCAACAGAGAATTCTACTTAACACTGTGAAACAGTACCATGAAATCTGCCATTACTATTATTTTAAACTTTCCCTGCATTTTCAGAGCCAGATAATTCAGCAAACCTAAATCTGCACAGGTTTTCTAAAAATAGGCTGTCATGTTAGTAACTTTTGTTTTCCAGAAGCAGATAACAGAATCGCTGTGTCACGGCAGAGTGTACTCACTTTGTAAAATACTCTCTAGTACTTTACAAAGACCAAAACATGAACGTTGGTAAAGTAGTGCATACAGAACAGTTGTAGTTCATCCAAAATTTCATAAACATTTACAAATGCCTACTAGACAAAATAGGACATGGGAAATCTTTTTGGGCAACAGGTTTAAGGCTGGTTATAGCATGTGGGTTCAGTCATGGCCCATACAACACTACCATGCTTCTGGAGTCTTCCAGGTGGAGAGTGAGACTTTCCTGAGGAGCAGACCTGCTGGTGCTTCTGTGCTGAGAATTGCCTCTGCTACCATAATTGCTAAGGGCTCCAGGCAGAGCTTGGAGAAGTGGTTCCGAATTTGCCTTCTTGACGCCCACCAAACACACTAAGATAACCTTGGATTTCAGATAAACAACCAGTTTATTCTGTAGGCAATGAGTTATAACATTGGCTCAAGGTTAATTAATGGGCATCATTAGCAGTGGGTGCCTAAGGAAAAAGAGAGATTTAAACTGGATATTAGGAAGAAGTTCTTTACTGTGAGGGTGGTGAGGTGCTGGCACAGAGTGCCCAGAGAAGCTGTGGCTGCTCCGTCCCTGGCAGTGTTCAAGGCCAGGTTGGACGGGGCTTGGAGCAATATGGTCTAGTGGAAGATGTCCCTGCCCACGGCAGGGGAGTTGGAACTGGATGATCTCTAAGGTCCCTTCCAGCCTAAACCATTCTAGGATTCTAGGAGTTACAGTATGGCAGCTGACCTGCAACAATCTTAGCTCTTGGAAAACATGAAGAAATTCAGGAATTATTGACATCTGTTTACTTGTCTGAATCTTTTCTTCACAGATAGGTTCTGAGCGTGTATAGCCCACGTAGCGCATCCAGAGTCTTTTTGACATCACTCCTGTAATTCTATATTATTTTCAATGTCGATATGCATGTTTCCGTGTGCAGACACTCTTTGTGTTCTAAATCATGGCAGTCTTTAACCTTTTCAGACATGCTAACACATGCAAGGGGGTCTGAGCATTGTCACAGGTGTCTAATCCTTATGAAATGAAGGAACTTGCTGCTCATAGATCATGTCCATTCTAAAATTGCTGTCCTGTGTTTCTGCTGGCAAGGATCCAAATGATATCTATGTTGCAATATCTTCTATCAATTTTTCTCTTGGCAGAAATCACTGACATCAGTACAATGGTTCCAATTTATTTTAAGCATTTTCTTCTAAAGAATGTGAAAGAAATAATGTTAAAAATGTGCTAGGTTCTGTTCTCCTGTCTCTGTTTCTGGGGATTTTATTTTTCACTTTCAACATTATCTTATGTATTTTCAAGGTAATAGTTTTTGTGCAAAAAGGCAGTAGTTACATTACTGCAGTCATGTTTAACACACATCCCTACATTCCTGTTCAGGATTCCGAGCAAGAAGAAGACAATTCAGAAGACATTCAAGAAGAGTGTTTCACAGAAAGCAATAGTGAAGTGTCTGAGGAGGTATATACTGAAGAGGATGATGAAGAAGAAGATGAGGAGGAAGATGAAGATGAGAGTGATGATGAGGATGAGGAAAAGCAAAATGCTGCAGCTAGTAAAACACCCGAGGATGGCAGGAGTTCTGACCACATCAGACGCAGAAAGTGTAACAGCACAAAGGACAATGAAAACTTACTCAATGGCCATGATGGAAAAGACGCAGATAACGTGAGCTTAAAAAGCAGTGCCATCCACCCCTGTGGGAATCCAACAGTTATTGAGGATGCTTTGGAAAAAGTTCGGAGCAATGACCCTGACACCACAGAGGTCAATCTGAACAACATTGAAAACATCACTTCACAGATGCTTATACATTTCTCTCAAGCCCTGAGGGACAACACAGTGGTTAAGTCATTCAGCTTGGCTAACACACATGCTGATGACAGCGTTGCAATAGCTATTGCGGGTATGTTAAAGGTAAATCAGCACATAACTAGTCTGAATATTGAGTCAAATTTTATCACAGGCAAAGGAGTGCTGGCCATTATGAGAGCTTTGCAGAATAACAAGGTTCTAACAGAACTGCGGTTCCACAATCAAAGGCACATTATGGGTAGCCAGGTGGAAATGGACATAGTTAAACTGTTGAAAGAGAACACCACTCTGGTCAAGCTTGGATACCACTTTGACCTCGCTGGCCCAAGAATGAGCATGACAAGTATCCTGACAAGAAATATGGATAAACAAAGGCAAAAGCGTATGCAGGAGCAGCGGCAACAAGAGTCTGGTTGTGATGGAGCCATCAATCCAAAGACCAAAGCCTTGCAGAAGGGGACACCTCGGTCCTCACCTTATGTGTCACCTAAGAACTCACCTTGGTCCTCTCCAAGTCTCCCTAAGAAAGCACCACCAGTGAAAAGTCAGCCTACAGTTCCTGCACCCCCACCTCCTCCTCCACCTCCACCTCCTCCTCCTCCTCCTCCTCCTGTTATTCCAGAGAAGAAGGCACCAACCAGGAATATAGCTGAAGTAATCAAAGAGCAAGAAAGCTCAAAAAAAGCCTTACAGAACGGACAGAAAAAGAAAAAAGGCAAAAAAGGCAAAAAACATGAGAACAGCATATTGAAAGAAATTAAAGATTCTCTAAAATCAGTCTCGGACAGAAAATCAGAGGAAGGTTCACGACCCTCCACCCGTCCTTCCACCCCACAAAGGTCTCTCCATGACAACCTTATGGAAGCAATTCGGGCAAGCAGCATAAAGCAATTAAGGCGGGTAAGTAAAAGATCCTATTTCTTTGCTCAGATAAAGCACAAGCTCCATTAATTTTAGTACATATCCATTTAATTAAAAAAAACATTCTTAGAAATGTGAGCATAAGGAATCACTTGGGAGGAGACTTTCTTCTGCTTGGACTTTTCTTAGCACACTGATTTCTGTTTGACTGTGATTTTGACAGCAAGTGGGGTACTTTCCCAGGTTCAGGCTTGTTGCAGGAGATGGTGCTTAGCACAGGGCTCTTGGGAGTGTGTCTCTGGTAGGAATTTTGCTATCCAGATGGTACAGCAAATGTAATGAACACCCTTCCCACCCTACCCTGTTTTGTAGGTGGATGTACCAGAAGCCCTTCGATGAAAGCCTGGACAACAGAAGGAGCAGAGCACTGTGCTGGTCGATGGGAGGCTGCTCATCCCTTCAGTGGTGGTAACATAGACTGTCCTTCAGTGGTGGTAACATAGACTGTCTAGCAAGCTGCTTCCAAAGTACCCCCTTAGATACAAATCATTTCTCTTTTATTTCAAAGATATAGACCTGCTAAATACAAAACAATGCTTTAAGGATACATTTGCCTTGTAATCTGTAAATATGGAAATAATTTTTTTTTTATTTAATGAGATTTCTATTGAGAAATTGCTGCTTATTTAGATAATATTTTCAATATTTGATTGCACATCACTGGACAAGTTCTTCACACTGAGATGTAATAGTTTACTAACCTGTGGTTTCTCCTTATTTTTTTTTTTTCATGAATTTACAATAAATGTGGTTTGAAGCTTTCAAGACACATAGTCCTGGGTTTCTGTGAGTGAAAATCTAACAGATGTTTGCGTTGAGTTCTTGAGCACTAGGGAAGTCCCCTGGGAAAGAACCTGAGATCTTTCTCAGCTGCACCCATCAAGCTTGTTTGGAACATAGTAGCTGAGCCTGTATGTTAGAGCAGTTTCATACTGACATGGGGAAAAATGGTTCATAAGGCTATATACAACTAAAATTAAACTGTGGGCTGTGTCAGGTCACTGGTGTTGCATACCAGCTCCTAAACATGTTCTGGCAGAACAGAAAGTAGGTGATGAGTACAGCTGCAGCTTATGTTGACCTAAAGGTTAAAAATTAATGTAGATATTTTAAGGATGCAGCAGAACTATTCAGCTGAAAGCCATTCAGTACAAGTGCACACACTGTATCTAGGCAGAGCTAACACCGATGCAGACATTCAGCCAGACAGAGAAACTTGAAAAGCAGTCTAGCATTCAGGTGGAAAAAGACTTTCATATGGTATCAGCTGAACAACAAGTGGAGTGTGAACTGTCAATATGATATGGTGGAAGCAAAGCCAGCATCGTTTGGAGATGCACGGCTGGAGGTATCACATCACAGGCGATGGCACGAATAGCCTTTCTTCGTGTTGTACTAGGCATCTCCCTCTGTCAGATTACTTATGGTTCTGAGTGCTTCAGCTAGTGTGAAGGTAGTGATAGCATGAAGAAAACTGAGCAGAGGCCAAAAATATTGAAAGGCAAGAGGAGATGTATGTTTAGAAGCACTACTAAATATTAATCAGTTAGCTCATTACAACAATAAAAAACAGAATCAGGTTTTCTTATACATAACACCACACCAAAGAGAAGCAATTACTTAAGATTAGATAACATTGCAGTGGTACTGAAAAACTACAGGTAACCTTGTAGCTAAAAATATTAATGAGACAGATCCCCCCAGAAAGAGGAACAAATTACTGAAGGGAAATGAAGCATAATGAAGGGGGGAATCATTAGTGAATTGTCAGGGATGCTAATGTCATGGCAAGAAAACTGTGAAGATACATTTTTGCTTTTGCATTTACTGACTAGAATGTACCAAAAGCAATTTAAAGTGACCTGAAACACCGACCAAATGGAAGCTGGGGCTTGGATCTTCTGAGGATGGAAGCAAAGCTAGAATTGCAGATCACAGTCAGGAGTGACCTACAACCCCAACCCTTGTTCCCAGTATCTTTACGAAGGATGTGAAACAGCAAAATGTTTAACCAGGGGAAGTTCAGGTTAGATCTAAAAAAGAAGTTCTTTACTGTGCGAGTGGTGAGGCACTGGAAGGGGTTGCCCAAAGAAGCGGTACATGCTCCAACCCTGGCAGTGTTCAAGGCCAGATCGGACAGTGCCTTGGGTGACATGGTCTAGGGTGAGGTGTCCCTACTCATGGCAGGGGGGGTGGAACTAGGTGATCTTAAGGTCCTTTCCAACTCAAACCATTCTATGATTCTGTGAAATGCCAGAAGCATTAGAAGCAGCTAAGCAGTTGCAAGGGAGAATGAGATAGGGAGGGAGCTCAGGGAAAGCACAGTGGGGAGAATTTGGAGGACGGCAAGAAATGTTTTAAAAAAACAAAACCAAAACCAAACTTTTAAGGAAAGA